TTGAAGTAAGTTGATAAAATTTTACTCAAATGTATATTATGTCTGCAGGACTTTTAGTATTGAAAATGGGTGATGTGGGTGCTATAGCCCCCATATTTTCGGCATTTTGATGATTTTAGCGAAATTGTTCACCAGAATTGTTTCAAATTTGGCATTTGATGTTTGTAATGTATACTACCGCCTAAGGCAGAAAATTGTGTGTGCAGACCCACGTCTTCGTATAGCCCCCATACAACGGTGGGGGGTATTTTGATGATTTTCGATATTCGGTATTTTGATGATTTTAGCGACATTATTCACCGGAATTGTTTTACATTTGTCATTTGAAGTTCGTAATGGTTACTACAGCCTATGAAAGAAAATTGTCTGTGCAGGTCCACGTCTTCGTATAGCCCCCATATAACGGCAACTCCCGATATTCGGCATTTTGATGATTTTAGCGACATTATTCACTGGAATGGTTTCAAATTTGGTATTTGAAGTTCGTAATGGATACTAAGAAAGAAAATTACATTATTCACCGAAATTGTTTCAAATTTAGTATTTAAAGTTCGTAATGAACAGAAAGTTGTTCTAAGAATTTTTAAGGGAGTTTTTTGTTTGAAAAAAGGCCCAACCAAGTCTTGTAATTTCTGAATTTATAGGCCTTTGGAATCTCTATCAGTTATTTAATGTGATCACACCAACTAGATGTAGACAAATTGCATCAGACACAAAAATAAACAACAAAGTAACTGACATAACTTATAAACAAATTAACCAAACCTTCACCACACCACATCATTGTGAAAAACAGTTGACATTACAATTATTGTTTTTAAAATTTCATGTTTTTTCTCATTTTTTCAAATTCATTACATTTTGTTTATGACACTTTAAAACCGCCAGCGATTGGGAAGAAAACCACCATGAAGGTTGCTGGCTGCTGATTAACGACCGTTGAAAACCGTTATATTATGACTTTGTTTATTTTTAAGTTTATGCCAAAACCATATAATTTTATTTACACTCAATGCTGAAAATTTCACTTTTTCTTTAAATACGTCGTCATTTTCCCAACCGTCGATGCCTGGTGATAGGTGGTGGTGGTGGTGCTGATGGTGGTAGGCTGCCAAGTTGGCAAACAAGCAGCGCGTTGCGACAATAAAATAAATAAACAATTTACTGACAAAATACTGGGAAAGAAATGAATGAATTGGAAAAAAGACCTCTTCAGGGGATTGCCATTTGCAAATATTTGGATGCAACTAGTTTAGCAGAGCGGTGGACATGGATGTGACCATACTGCCACCCGATAATTGCTGGATAAGCTGACAAAGTTACGGCGAATGTTGGCAATGAAAAACTTTGGGGTTTTTCTGTTGGCACAGTGGAGGGTTTTGAATGTTTATATTTTTGTCTCGAGCCTGAAATTACTGACATAAATTATACCTGGATTGAACACAAACTGCAACTCCAAACTTTTGACTATCTCGTTATCTATCTCTATCTCTCGTTCAGTGCAAAATAAAACAAGTTAAAAAGCAGTAAGTTCGACCGGGCCGATCTTTAAATACCCTCCACATTTGGAACGAATTTGGACTCTTTCAAAAAATAAGATAGGTTAAAAATTCTGTTAAAATCTTTAAAATACCGAATACAGCCGTTATATTGGGGTCTATACGACGTGGACCTACATAGGCTTTGTTTGTCATAAGCCATTAAAATATTCAAATTCGAAACGTGAAATAAACGATGAATAATGTATCTAAAATCATCAAAATAGCGTATTAGGGAGGTACCGTTATATCGGAGCTATACGAAGACCTGGTACTGCATAGACATTTTTCTGTCACAGACTGTAGCTTCCATTACGAACTTCAAATACGACATCTCAAACCATTTCGTTGAGTATTGTGCCTAAAATCGTCAAAAAACCGAATATAGGGAGGTATTAATATTTAGGGCCTATACGAAGACCTGGAGCTGCATAGGTTTGTCACATACTGTAGTTCCCATTACGAGCTCTAAATAATTTCGCTAAAATCCTCAAAATACCGTATATTGGAAGGTACCATTATATGGGGGCTATATGAAGACGTTGACCTGCACGGACAATTTTCTGTCATAGGCTGTAGTATCCATTACGAACTTCAAATACCAAATTTGAAAAAAAAAAATCGAATTTATGGAGGTACCGTAATTTGGGGGCTATACGAAGACGTGGACTTGCACAGACAATTTTCTGTCTTAGGCTGTAGTATCCATTACGAACTTCAAATACCAAATTCGAATCAATTTTGGTGAATAATGTCGCTAAAATCATCATAATACCGAGTATCGGGAGGTACCGTTATATAGGGGCTATTTACCTAACCTAACCTGTATACTGGCAAAATAAACATGTGTGGGAAATTTTAGCCTTCTATCTCAATTCGTTCGAAAGATATCGTGATTACAACAGACAGACGGACTGACAGACAGATAGACAGACTGATATCGCTAAATCGACTTGGAATTTTACGCTGATCAAGAATATATATACATGATGAAATAAGTATTTGAGTTACAAACGAAAAGAGAAAGTTAATATATCCTCCATAGTATGGTGGAGGGTATAAAAAAATCACCCAATGTGTACTTGTGCCAACACAAAAAATATATAACAAACCACGTATGATATTTTTTTCTATTTTTATTTTGTTGTTTATTTTCATTTTGTGGAAACTTTCAATATTATTTGAAAGATATTGAACACGTCACTAATGCCTATTCCTCCTCCCAGATTTGTCCATCCTTTCAAGATGTTTACTTACACTTATATCTTTATGCGTTGTGGTTTTCGAAGACAACTTTTTGTCTTCTCTTCGATTTCTGTGGAATTATCTCAATGCAGTTAATTATTTGACTTTGTAATGACTTAACAAGTTGCACCTATCCTCTCGCAGTCCACCAGCTACAGTGAAGTTATGGTCTTGGAGATTTGTCTTCGTGATCGATTAATTGGTAATATTGGACGGGCCACCGTATGTGGTCACAAGCGATTGTATTTTTGCTTTGCTCATTTGCCAATTTAGTAGCCAGTATCTCTTTGTTTCTGGAAAATATATTCCAAATAAAAACTAATGACTGGAATTGAAGAAAAGTGTAAAATATTTGACATTCCACGGCAAGAGTGAAATTATTTTGTAGACATTTGCCATTGTCCAATTTTGTGATGTTATTTTTATTATTTGTTTGCAATAAAATTTGTTTAGTTGGCAAAATGGGAAGGTGGAGGAAAATTTTCAAGGCAGAAAATAAATAGTATTTTTAATATGTTTAAAAAATCCAGGCTTATGGCATTGATAGTCCTTGGAAAAATATTTTTATAAAATCCACGCCAATGGCATTGATAGTCCTTGGAAAAATAAGTTTAAGGTCATTAAAAAATATGTGTAAATTATTATTTTAATATTATTAGCCTGGCCTTCAAACGGCCAATGAACACGTTGCCCGAATATTGCTCTGCTGTATTTTGGCCCATTCCCGGCGAAGCGCTTGCTTGAGGTGATCGACACTTTGGTATTTTTTAGTGCCAACCTTTCTTTCCAGAATACTCCAGACACAATAGTCCAACGGATTGGTATCCGGTGATTTCGGTGGCCATTGTGCGTTGGAAATGAAGCGAGAAATGAAAAATCCACTCCTACGGCATTGATAGACCTTGCAAAAATATATTTAATGTCCTTGGAAAAATATGTTTAAAAAATCCTCGCCTACGGCATTGATAGTTCTTGGAAAAATATATTTAATTTTCTTGGAAAAATATGTTTAAAAAATCCTCGCCTATGGCATTGATAGTCTTTGGAAAATATGTTTAAGGTTCTTGGAAAAATATGTTTAAAAAATCCACGCCTACGGCATTGATAGTCCTTGGAAAAATATGCTTGAGGTCCTTGAAAAATATGTTTAAAAAATCCACACCTACGGCATTGATAGTCCTTGGAAAAATATGCTTTAGGTCCTTGGAAAAATATGTTTAAGGCCCTTGGAAAAATATGTTTAAAAAACCACGCCTACGGCATTGATAGCCCTTGCAAAAATATGTTTCAGGTCCTTGGGAAAATATGTTAAAATTCACGCCTATGGCATAATAGTCCTTGAAAAAACTGTTTAGTGTCTTTGGAAAAGTATGTCTAAAGAATCCATGCCTTAAACTTTGACAGTCCTTGGCAAAATATGTTTAAGGTCCTTGAAAAATAAAACCACGCCTATGACATTGATAGTCATTGGGAAAATAAGTTTAAGGTCGTTGAAAAAATATGTTTAAAAAATCCACGCCTATAGCATTGATATTCCTTGGAAAAATAAGTTTAAGGTCCTTGAAAAAATATGATTAAAAAATCCACGCCTATGGCATTGATAGTTCTTGGAAAAATATGTTTAAAAAATCCACACCTAGGACATTTATAGTCCTTGGAAAAATATGTTTAAGGTCCTTGGAAAATATGTTTAAAAAATCCACACATAGGACATTGATATTCCTTGGAAAAATAAGTTTAAGGTCCTTGAAAAAATATGATTAAAAAATCCACGCCTATGGCATTGATAGTTCTTGGAAAAATATGTTTAAAAAATCCACACCTAGGACATTTATAGTCCTTGGAAAAATATGTTTAAGGTCCTTGGAAAATATGTTTAAAAAATCCACACATAGGACATTGATATTCTTTGGGAAAATAAGTTTAAGGTCCTTGAAAAAATATGTTTAAAAAATCCACGCCTACGGCATTGATAGTCGTTTGAAAAATATGTTTAAGGTTCTTGGAAAAATATGTTTAAAAAATCCACGCATATGGCATTGATAGTCCTTGAAAAAATAAAATTAAGGGCCTTGGAAAAATATGTTTAAAACATCCACGCCTGTGGCTTTGATAGTCATAGCTCCAATAGTCTTTGGAAAAATATCATTCAAACCAGTTTTGGTAGCTAGAAAAGTCCTTGTAAAATTATTATATTATTTTTTATTTTAAATTATTATATTATTTTTTATTTCGAATTTTCATTCACAGTATCTTTTGGATCCCCTTAGTCAGTTTACTATTATTATTTGTCCTATTTGCTGCATTTAAACATTTCTCCAATTCATCACGAAGACTTTCTGCTTCCTGGAGATATAACTGGGAATATGTTTCAGTACATGTGTACTCATTATATCGGATAACTTCATATTTAAAACTTAAATATTGCATTTTATCCTTCGAAAGATTTTGTAATAAATGAGTTGTGGGTATAGCCTCTCCAGCCTAAAAAATAATTTCAAAATGAAAATATTTTCAAAATGTTTCAAATTGTTTACCCAAAACTCACCGCATTATTCATACACTCAAAATATGTGTAGGGTTGACTGTCGTTTCGCCGACACATATAAAATCTCGAGCATATTTCATCTCTCAGCAAATCCACTCTATCCAGATCTGGTTTCACTTGTCGATGCAAACAACTGGTGGCGTTATTTGAAATTCCAATACACCTCGTGTAATTTGCTTCGAATTCATTCGTTAAATTTGTCAATTTTATTGTATAAATCGAAAAACATTCGGCACTTCTTTCCGGATCATTGACGATACTGGCATTGGAGTTACGAATAATTTCAGCCAAATTTTGATTAACCATGGAAATAATTCTCAAACTATTGGCTTGTGAAATTATGCAAAATACTATCAATTTATACATATTCTCAAATCGACCAAATCAAGTGCTGCTATTGTCTGACTTTTCTCTTCAAATGACTGCCTCTTTTGAAATTGCAATTTGTTTTAAGTAAGGAAATAAAAATAATGCGAAAATAAAATCTTCCATTGGACTTGTGATCTGAGTGTCTGTTTAATTAATAATGTTTTTATGATTGTTTATCTGACATTCGAGGCTCCCGAAGTGACGTTAAAATAAAAGCATTGTTTTTATGACTCAAAACGATGACATTTATCATTGCTTTCATCAAATACGAAATTGCGACCAACAGATATTGTTTGCATGACAAATTTGTTTCTTATCACAAAAAGTAGTATCGTTTTCAATTGGAAAATGTCTTTGATTTCGGGGTCATAGTACACGACTACATACACACTTATTGATATTTCCTCAAAGCGAACTGCATCGAAACAGTGTATGCTATTTACCTTTAGATTGTTAAAATTGTACATACATGCATTGCACAATTTCTTGAAAAGTTTCTGGTAAATGTCGCATTGTAGGTGGAATGTCCAATGATAGAATTCAAGCGTGATAGTGTGGTGTTTTTTATATTTGGTTGGAAAACCACAAGTGGTTATCGTTAGAGCTCACCAGCATTTAAATGTGAATAAATCTTTTGTATCATCGAATAGAATCAAAAGAGCTTCGCTTGGCCGAAAGTGGTGAACTGCCGAATTTGGTTTTATCCGATGAGAGAACATTCGTTGTCCAGCAATTTGTAAACAAACAAAATGATCATGTTTACTATCCAAAGAGGTCAGCTGAATATGTGCACCTTCGGTTGGCCATCACCATGGTCGGCGCTTGAGTTCTGGTAAGCGCCGACCATGGTGATGGTGTGGGCCACCATAACAGCCGATGGTTGCTCTCGACTCGTATTAATCGACTGTGGCATCAGAATAAATGCCGAATATTATCGTGAAAATATTCTGGAGGGTTAAATTAATTAAAGCCTTGAGCACGCAAACATTTTGGCCGCAGACCTTGGACATTCCAACAGGACTCAGCACCATCGCACTCAGCACGCGTCACCCAAGAATGTTTACAAAATTTCCAGAGCACAATGACCACCAAAATCTCCGAATACAAATCCGATACACTATTGTGTCTTCAGTATTTTGGAAAGCAAGGTTGGCACTAAAAAATACCATAGTGTCGATCACCTCAAGCAAGCACGTCGCCGGGAATGGGTCAAAATACCGCGTGGCAACATTCGGGCAGCGTGTGACAGTTTCATTGGCCGTTTGAAGACCATAATTCGTGCCAAAGTTGGCCAATTCGAACAAATCTAAACTTATTCTTAAAGTTGATGCTATTTCCGACATTTTTTGCTTTCATTCATTAAAATTAAAAAAAATGTAAAAATTAAGGTGTTTGACTTTGTTGCAGTTTTTTTATCTCACCTTGTATAGATATAGGGGATATACGATATCGTGGATCTCTACAAGGTACCTCCCGATATTCGGTATTTTCCTGATTTTAGCCATATTCATCAATGGAATTGTCTAAAAACTAAGACAAGGAGTTCCTTCCGAATAATTTACCCCCTGGAAAGAATTGTCTACATAGATCCACGATATCGTATATCCCCTATATAATGGTACATCCCTATATTCGGTATTTTCCTGATTTTAGCCACATTCATCAATGGAACTGTCTAAAAACTAACACAAGGAGTTCCTCCCTAATACTTTACCCCCTGGAAAGAATTGTCTACATAGGTCCACGATATCGTATACCCCCCATAAAACGGTACCCCCCTCACCCCCGATATTCGGTATTTTGATGATTTTAGCCGCACTTTTGAGGAGTTGTTTTAAATTTCGTATTTTAAGTTTGAATCTCGTTATGAATACTGCAACCTTCGTATATCCCACATATAACGGTACCTCTCTTTATTCCCTATTTTGATTATATTAGCAACAATATTCAATGAATTTGTTTCAAATTGGAAGTTCGGTACTACAGGCTATCACAAAAAATTGCCTATACACGTCCACGCCTTCGTATACCCCCCATTTAATGGTTTTAATTTAAGTGGTATTTTTCTACGGATTTTGTTCTAATTTTTTCAAGATCCTTCATTGTGGTGGAGGGTATTAACAGTTCGGCCCGGCCGATCTTAGTTCCTTTTTTACTTGTTTAAATATAATCCTTATCGAAGTCATATCGTTATTTGGTTCATAATTGGTATGATCTACTTCACATAAATTCCCAATATAAACTCTTTTGTTACGGGAGCTTTACTAATTTAATTAATTAATTTTAAGAAAGAACGGTTTTAAGAATATCTTTAAGACTTTCTTGGCAAACATCATGTTTTACAAACCTTTTATAACAAAGCAAAAAACTTCTTGATCCGCAAAAATGTTTTGCATAAAATCCAACCATTAAAAATTGGTGATAATAAAAGAAGTTTGTATAAAAATTAAAAGTTTTTTTGTTACAAAACCTACTTTTAACCGTCAAGTTTGTGAACATCTGACTTACATTATTTTGGTTAAAATAATTACCGAATGGCGTGATCAAACATTTGCTAAATTTTTTCATATAAAAACACTCATAAATGCCGCTGCATATATGTTTATCCAAACTCCCAGACTTCCTATCAGACACACCATATTGTATGGGTGGTGTATGTATGTTAATCTATTCTCAACACTGGCCATTGGCTTTGGTTAACCTCAAAATTTCATTCATTCACAAATTAAATTCAGAGGAAATTTGTTTAGACATCTTCGATTTGGTTCTGAGTTTCATGACTACTTAACCCCATTTCTATGGGCCATGACCTTTTAATTAAAGAAAGTCTTTTTGAAGATATTTTTGTTTCGATGCGTCTCACAAAAATCCCAACGAAAAAGAAGAAGAAAACAAAAATAGTAACAACAAAAGCTCATATTAACATTCCAAAACGATACGAAAGAAAAAGTTAAAGGAATTAGGAAAACAATTCACTTGCAATTCCGTGTTGAAGATGCCAATAGAAAAAGTGAATTTATACGAAGTTGTTGTTGTAAGTTCTTCTTCTTCTTCGACTTTTGAAAATTTACTCCAATCTTAGAAAATCTCTCGGCGCTCTTTTTTTGCTGCTGCTTCTGTTGTTGTCGATGTTGTGTGGCCACAGATGAATAGAAATATATAAACAAACATGATAAATCACACATATCTTAAATATTTATTTATACGTTTTTCAAGATATTTAACATGAGATTTTTTTTTGTCGCAACTATGAAATGGAGAGACAATCAGTGGTAGTGTGACAAATAAGGGGAGGGTGGTGTGTTGAGTTTGGTAAATTTCAATGAGTCGACAAATACCACTGATAGCAAATTTGAAATAATTTAGTCTTCCTCATCCTTAAAACAGTAAATAAAGTCTTAAAGTCGGGCGAGGCCGATTTTATGATACCCTACACCACTTTGCATATTTAGTAGAGCTTCACATAACAAATAAATTTTTTATGAGAAATTTGTGGGAAATAAATCATACCAACTAAGATAATAGATATACTTTAAAGTCCAAAAGGACTGAGGGGAATATTCATCTCTGAATCGATGTCTACTAATTTTCCGAAGCATTTTTGCCTTTTCAATTCGGGCTTGTATTACACATTTGGTGCATTGTTACCTTGAAATCGAATAAAGATATATATGGGAGTTATATCATAATCTGAACCGATCTCGGTAGAATTTGGCAAAGGTATATTTGATATATTCCCCAGAATGTCGTTGTTACTGAGTGCATATTATGGCTGTGGAGAACACATATAATAAATCGGATTAACATTATATATGAGAACTATAGCTTTATCTGAACCGATATTCACCAAATTTGACTCAATTTGGTCGTAAGTGCCAAATTTCATCCCATTTGGGCTAATATTTCGCGTTTTGTGCACAATAAAAGACATATCGGATGAAGATATATATGGGAGCTAGCAAAGGTATTTCTGAGCTGTATTTGATATATTTACCCAAATATCGTTGTTACAGAATGCACGTTACGGCTGCGGAGGACAAAAATAACAAATAGGATGAAAAGTATATATGGAAGCTGTAGCTACATCTGAACCGATTTCGATCAAATTTGGCATAGTTATTTTCAGGCCTAATTTGGTCATAAGTGCATTTCCTTACTGTTTGGTGAACAATAAAAGGCAAATCGGACGAAGATATATATAGGAGATATATCTAAATATTGACTGATTATCTCCAATTTCAATGGGGTTCGTCCTTGGGCCAAATAAATAATTTGTACAAAATTGCATTTGTACAAATGTGACCTGTACTGTGTTTACAAAAATACATGGACAGACCGACGGACGGATATGCGTAAATCGATTAAGAATATGATTCTATGCAGATCATTAAAAGGTAATTTTCATGCGCTTTAAGTACGAATATCCAAGCCCTCATTCGCACAACTCAAACGTGACTCTGATACATATGTGTTGGGGCTGGACTGATTTTGACAATTCAGAATGGCCTCTTCGCAGAAAAGGATTAAATCTAAAAAAATCACATATAATTCGCATTTTTATACCTTCCACCTCGAAAAGGAGGGTATCATTTGCCATTCCATTTGTAACATCCCTAAATATTCGTCGTAGATCCAATAAAGTATATATATTCATGATCAACCTGATGCCTGATGTCTGTCCGTCTGTTGAAATGACGATACAGTTCACATAATTTGACGTAAAGCTTCAAAATTTGTCGCAACAATTTTAATTATGTTAGGATGTTTGGCATTGAATATGATATCAGTATCAGTCTACGTTTTGGTATAGCCGCCATATTACGGTACCTTCCGATATTCGGTAGTTTGATGATTTTTGCCAATTTCTTCGCAATGAATACTACAGCCGAAGACGGAAAATTGCCTGTGCAGGTCAATTTTGAATATTGCATCGCATTTGAATATTGTAATGGCTTATGACAAAAGTTGCCTATGCAGGTGACGTCTACATTTGGTATTTTAAAGATTTGAACAGAAAATTTAATGGATTTTATTTTTCTTTTGAAAATTCGTTCCAAATGGTGGAGGGTATGACCCCCATACAACGCCTCACCCACTTTATATTTTTTTGATAAGTTTAAGTGCATTATCCAAACGGTCTTGCTGGTATATGAAGTTTAAAGTGGAACACGCTTGA